AGGGGCTGGTGTGTTTGTTTTGTGCTACTACACTGGGCCCAAGTTTCTGATAGATGTCTAGATGGCTTTCTATACAGGAAGACAAACTGCTGTGTATCTTCTACACTGAACAGGCTGAAATGAAACACACCCCTGTGTTACACCAACCCACCTTCTATTTCCTCGCAGCTGTGAGCTTAAGGGAAAAAAAAATAAATCTGTAGTAGTTCTAGGACAGGTAGCTTACCTGTATTTGGATATTTCAAACAAGTGATTGTGGGAAAATGGGCAATTTAAAATCTGTTCAACTCGTGGTCAGCTAAGTGCCTACCACACCCTGTTAAAAGGTACTGTGTACAGTAGTTTATAATTATGGATTGCAGCATGGGCTAAAATGAGAAGCAGTGTGAGCAAGTTTCTAGCTAATGCATCTAATAATACAGCGCTATACACAAAGGATCTGTCAGCAATTGATGCAAAAAAAGTCCAACCAAAATCTTTTTTTTTCTTTCTTCTGAATTTAACAATAAGGAATTTAAGCCTCAATGTGGCTTTAGCAACCAAAGAAAAGAAGCTCTTGGTGTCTGCATAATACCACTTTGATGGATTTTTTCATCAGTCCTCTGTACGTGGCAACAAATAAACAAGTATAATTATACTTGTGAAGGCCTATTCATTGCTTTGTCAGGATTAGATATATGTGCAGTTTTCACACTGAGCCTCTCTTTTGTCTTTGCCTAACTCACTATGACATATTGATAGAGGATTTGGTATGGGGAAAAGGCCACAGCAGAGACAGTGATGACCTTTTGGAAACTTGATATAATTCAAGGATTTTTATTTATTTTCTTCTTCTTTTTATTTTTTTTTCCAAAAAATTTCTTTAACTTCTTACCAAATTCAGAGGCAAGTGTGCAACTTTTAACCCATTTTTACCAGAGTAAATAGAGACTCAAAAGTGTTACGAGATGGCTAAAAAGCAGATGGGAATAAAAACAATAGGCTAAGAAGCCTCTTGGTCTTCTTTCCCAGCACTTAGCACTGTGGCTAACCTAGCATTCCTTTCCCATTATTCCATCCTCTTGATCAGATCACGTTCTTTTTAATCATTTCACAAACACTGTCTCACTGGACCGTAGAAGAGGGCTGGGACAATCTCAATTAAAAAACAGAGGTAAAACTGGCATTTGTGATTCTTTGTTCTAATGGGAACTCTGCATTCTAAATGCAGAGGAATTCTCCTATTGTTCAGGAAGCACCCCCTTTTCATTAGCAAATCTGGCTGTAGGTGGGTTTTTGTAATTTAACTGAGCAGAGTTTAGAGCACAGTTTCTCCAGGAGGAAAGCAGAGGTTAGTAATTTAAGGTTTTCTGTATATTGGCCATTAGTTCCGAGAAGAGGATTTAGATGATCAAAGTTAGTGGCCTTGTGAATTACTGAGAGAACTTTAAATACTAAGCAGAGCAGCAGGTATGTATTTCTGTGAACTCAGCTGATAGCACTGGCAGAGATTTGTTTTTTCTTGATGTTTTAAGGCTATTCAGGTACGTGCTTAATATATGTGCTTTTTTTTTTTTTTTTTAGTTTTTGCATATAAGCAGGGAGTATACTGTATGGTTTGCATTGTGACTGTTTTTGCAGAGAGAATTGAAATCTGTTGTAGAGGCTTTGTGGGATTGCGGTGGTTCTGAGGCAGTCCTTGTGAATTTTTTTTAGCTATGACTTTGTGAAACTTCATTATAACTCCCTCAGAAGGTCCCTGGGGGGAAAGAATTTTTATTTTTCAATACTGAAGATGCTGTAGCCTTTAATGGATGCATGTTCCATCATATGCTACATACAATCAGTAAGTCATCCCAGTACTCTTTAATTCCTTATCAAGGTATAATGATTTCATCTACCTAACCTGGTAGCAAACATGGCCACAAAGACTGTAAACAGCTCAAGTATGGAAATATATGTTATGGTGTCTCTCTGTGTTGCTTGTCAGTTCAAAGATTTAGTATTTGTTTTAATTGGAATGAAATATACTCTCGTTTATACAATTACGATCAGAGGGCTGATGTCATTGTTTAGGACTGATTAATACTGAAGTTATGCAAGGAGACTGATAACTATAAATGTGCAGTTTATTTCAAAATGTTGATTAAGTAACAGAAAAGATGTTATGACACTTGTTACTGTGCTGTGGTTTTTTTTTTTTTTACTTTGGTTATGTGATGGAAGGTTTAAAAATCTAGTTTAGTTGCTGCTAAATCTTTTAAGACTGGAAACTGCAACAGCAAGACTGCTTAGTGCAGGGTTGTGGGAAGAAGGGGAAGGGTGAGATGCCATGCTGCAGAACCCATTTTGTATCTGCCTAAAATTATTTAATGCTCATAAATGCCATATGGGTCCCAGTATAGTGTGCATGCCCGCAACTATTCTGGCAACTGTTTTTATGTGTGTGTGTGCTGGACACTATGATGCTGTGGTACACCGTGGTACACTGCAGTGCGGGTAGAGCTTGCTTCAAGCAGCG